AAGGGACATCTTCCCTCCAGGGACCCCCCACATGTCCCCATGGAGACATCTCCCTTCCAGAGACCACCCCACCTCCCCAAAGGGACATCTCACCCCCAGGGATTTCCAGAGACCCCACAATGTCCCCAAGGAGCTACCTCCCTCCCAGGGACCCCCCAGACACCCCCCAATGTCCCCAATGGGTCACCCCCCAGACACCCCCCAGACACCCCTCCAACATCCCCAAGGGGCCACCTCCCTCCCAGGGACCCCCAGGAACCTCATCCATTCTCCCCAAAGGGACATCTTGCTCCCAGGGATCTCCAAGGACAACCCCTGTAAGTCCCCAAGGGGACACATCCCTCCCGGGGACCCCAGGGACCCCCCCCCCATCTCCCAAAGGGGACATCTCCCCCCAGAGACACCCCCCGCCCCAGCATCCCCAAGGGACATCTCCCACCCCAAAGGACCCCAGAGACCCCAGTCCAACCCAAGGGACACGTCCCCTCCAGGGACACCCCCCCACCATGTCCCCAAGGGGACATCTCCCTCCCAGGAGTTCCAGCCTTCCCAAGGGGACACCTCCCCTCCACGGGAACCCCCCCAAGACCCCAGCCCTGTCCCCGGGCTGTCCCCGCACTCACGATGGAGGAGGCGGGAGGTGACAGGCAGGGCCTGGCAGCGGGGTGACAGTGCCGGGGACGCGAAGGCTCCTTCACCCGCCTGGGGTTTTATAGCCTCCGGGGGGGCTGCTGGCTCCTCCCTCACCCGTGACCGACCCACGGGCACGGCAGGACCCCGGCAGCCCCCCCACCACCTCCACCGGCCCCCGGCCCCAGGGACACGTGCCAGCACCTTGTCACCGTCCCTTGGCAGAGCCTGGCGCACCGAGGGGCTGGGGTGCAGGCACAGGGCATGGACGGAGCACGGGGGACACGGATGGGACACAGGGACATGGCACGGGGACACGGCATGCGGCCACAGGACACAGACATGGCGTGCGGCACATGGCAATGCCACACGGGCATGGCACACGAGCATGGATGTGACACACAGCCACGGCACACGGGCACGGTGCACGGACACAGCACGCAGCCACAGCGGGGCACAGCCGTGGCGTGTGGCACATGGCAATGGCACATGGACATGGATGTGACACGCAGCCATGGCACACGGGCAGGGCACACAGGCACAGATGTGACAGACAGCCACGGCACAGGGACACGGATGTGACACGCAGCCACGGCACACGCGTGGCCCCAGGACAGCCTCGGGATGTGGCAGTGGCACACAGGGACATCAGCCACACACAGGGACACAAACACGGCACAGCCGTGACACGGGCACAGCACATGGGACACAGGAGGGACACAACGGCCCACAGCCCTGGCACAAGCCACCCACGGGGGACAGCACAGGGGAAGGGACACAGCCCACAGCTGCCTCAGTTTCCCCAGACACCACGGCAGGGCACGGAGCCGCCACCGCAGCCCCTGTCACCGCAGCCCCCGTCACCGCAGCCCCCGTCACTGCCATCGACCGCTGTCACAGCCCTCCAGGATGGATGAGCTGCCCTTTCTGCTCCCCCGCCATGAGCCCCCCGTGCCGGGGGGGGACACTAATTCGTTATGGATTTGGCATTAAGGAGCAATCACCCAGCCCGGGCCTCCAGGGAGAAACTGAGGCACAAAGGCGCCCGGCGGGGACGTGCTGCAAGTGGGCGGTCTGGGTCCCCACCAAACTGGGAAGGGGCCACCAAAGCCACCATGTGGGTGCTAGGATGGGGACGGGCAGCAGAAGGGGGGGGTCCCCAAAAGCCCCAAGATGCTCCCACCCAGAAACAGCCACATCTCCAGCCAGGTGGATGGAGGGGACACAGCTCGGCCAGGACCCTGTGGGGTGCCACCGGCCCGGCTGGAGGGGACACGCTCCCCAACTCCTGACCGGGCCATCACCCTGGCGAGCGGCGGTGGGGGCACGGCTCATGGCAGTGCCACCACGGGGGTCCCAGCCCTGTGGCTGTCCCCAGCCCCGGGGGGGACTTGTCCCCATAGCATGGCCACAGCGTCACACCGGCATGCAGGGACACATGTGGGGGTCCACGCTGCCCCAGCCATGTGGTGCCCAGCCCCACATCAGCCTGGGAGAGGGGGCTGAGCCCCCTCGTGAGCCTGGGAGTGGGTGGGAGCCGCCCCGGCACAGCCCCCCCTGCCCCAGCCCAGCACCTTTCACGTCCCCGCAAATGAAGGCACGGGTCGATCAAGGGCTAATTGGATCGATGGGGGATGTGGATGGCCCCCCCACAGCAGCCTGCCACGTGCCCTTGGGGACACGGAGGCCGAATCCAGCATCGCCCCGGTGGGGGCTGAGCCCCCTCCCCAGCAGAGGAACGCTCCGATGGGGGGGCTCTGCCCCATCATGGGATTCGGGGTGGGGGGGCACAGAGCGGTGGCCGGTGGACACCAACCCCCCGGTCCCACTGCTGTGGACTGGAAGCAAAGCCCACAAGCGGCAATGTCACTGCATCGTCACAGATGTCCCCAAGCTGAGGCTGGGAGGGAGGATCGGGGTTTGGGTGGCCCTCAGCCCCCCCCCAGCACAGAGCAGACCCCGCTGCGGGGGGAAGAAGGGAGGCGAGAACTTTCTGCACCATTTCCCCCGAGTGACAGTAAACAGCAATTTTCCAAAGGTCACAGGATGG